TCATAGTGATACATTACTGGATTTATTTAACTGGTGGATTTCTTAGATGATGAAGTGTGATTTTTGCATATGTCCAACACTAAAGTCGAGTTATTGTTAATATCACGTTTAGGGGGAGATTGTTGGGAGAAAATGTGTTATTAGCAAAACTATGTATTATGTGTGTATGGAAGAAACTTACCTTTTTGTCAGGCTCGCCGGGCGCATGCATCTTCTTGTTCATTAATGGGCCGTTCACTTGTCATTCTATTTTCTGTAGTTGTCGCAACAGAAAACAAATTAAAATGAAAACGAAGTTGTTATTTCCTGAGAAACAAAACCTGAAGAAAACTTGTTTAGCTGAGAATTTTGGTAAGTTCTGAAACTCAATTCTGAAAACGAAAACCTGTTTAGTTACTTCATACTGTTTTCTGGTACGTATTACCACAATTTTTTTTATTGATTATCATATAACTCTAGTCTTGATTAGAGTTTTTAGTATGAATTACATTGTTTTAAACTACTAATAACAACAATACTAGTACAACACATTTGATACTCTTTCACATAGATATTTCATTTAATATGCGCATATGACCGTACTTATTTTATACATTTAAAATTTTCATATCAATATATATGATTTTAACACATGTAGTTTTATCTTAGATACAAGTGAGATTTAAATACCCATCTTACAAGTTACAAATGTATACGCATCACGTAGCTACTATGGCAAGTCAATGCCCATAAGATACGAGTGAGATTTAAATACCCATCTCACAAGTTACAAATGTATACGCAGCACGTAGCTACTATGGCAAGTCAATGCCCATAAAAAATACTTCTCGAATGAACCAAAAATTACACACGGAGGAAGAGCCTGCTCCTGAAAACATAAAAAGTAACATACGGCTGGTGGGACTCAAACAAGGTATCTCATTAAACCAAACTAGGGAATTCTCCGCCAGGAAACGCCCCAATTCCCGTGTCAACAATTCCACAAAGCCCAATTTTGACATTTTCTCCCAGCTACCTACTTATTGTCTACCCATTTTCCAAATAGAAAACAAAATAAACAAGTTTTTTAATATTTGTTTCCTGATTTGGCAACGAAAAACAGAAAAAAAAATGGAAAGTGAACAGGGTATAAGGAAAGCAAGCACCTCCATTTCGTAGTTGGCAGTTTCCAATCAAAAGAAGCCAATAAAAGAAAGAATTTGAAAAGAGCAGCAAAGTGTGAAGATTGGGACACAAGAGTCAAGAAGCTTACCATTTGTGGGGAAGATTTAGAATAAGCTTAACATGGAAAGATTGCTCAAAAGTGCAACGATCAGAATTTGTAAGATTATTATAAAAGGGCTCTTGGGCAGATAGGTTGAGCACCTTTCCGGGAGATCAAAATACTAGAGAACGGTAGTTGCTAAGAGTGTTTTGGTAGGAAAGAGGTTAAGCATACGGGGAGTTGCTTGGTTCAAGCATCGGTTAGATAGCTTGGGTTATGTGTTGGGATACACGGGGTTCGATTGACGGGGAGTTAATCGAGGCGACGGTATTGGGAAATACCGGGATTGTTCTTTTGTAAACCGAAGAGCTTCAAGACATATCCTTATAGTGAAATCGCCAGAGATCACATAATCGTGACTCTCTGACCGTGGACTAGTCAGTGTTGAGATACTCTTACTATCGAGAGAGGTCTCTAAGAAACATGGCTTACTTTTTTTTAAAACCAAAGATAATCATTAATATATTGATAAGATCAGAAGTTACACCCTGGATCCAACCCAGACACGAAAATCATACAATCGACACGAGGCCGGAGACAAAGAAAGGACCTTCCTAGCAACTGAATGGGCTACCCTATTGCTATTCCGACTGACAAACTGAACACAAAAGCCACTATGCACCCCTAGCAGACTCAGAATATCTTTGATAATAGCCCCTACCCAACTATCCTGCACATCTTTAGCATTGATTTTGTCAATGAGTACCTTTGCATCACCTTTAAACCTCACTTGAGGGATGCCAAGGCCCTGACACCAATGGAGAACTTCACGCAGGGTAATAGTCTCTACCACCAGGGGGTCGACCACACCCTCAAAGACCAGCCCTTTCGCTGCCACCATAGTCCCACCTCTATCCTTCACAATCAGCCCTCCCGCTGAATGGGAGCCAGCACAGACCGCGCCATCCCACATACAGATAAGAGGTGACATATCCTCCTGGCCCTGATGATGCTGAGAGATAACCCGGCCCAAGATAGATCTTTCCTCTGGCAACGACACCCACTCATGTACCTGCTGATGATATTGGTGCATCAGTTGGGAAACCAAGAGTTGCTTGCCCTCAAAGGCTGCCCAATTTCTTGATTTCCAAATACGCTAGAGGAGCGCTACCAAAGCCATAACTTGATCTGGCTGAGTCAACCTAAGCAAACAACGTTTAAGGAACAACGGGAAAGTGCGTCGAGGAAGATCTTGGCTCAAATGCTCCAACCTCGAATGCGCCCAGAGAGTTGCAACGGCTGGACACTCCCAAAATAGGTGCTCCATCATTTAAGCCTCTGCCCAACACACCGAATATCGAGGCCAAACTGGACCCTCTTTTCGATCAAGGCTTCTGTGGTGGGCAAAATACGGTGAAAAATCTGCCAGAGGAACAACTTAAGTTTAGGTTGGATTTTAAGGGGCCACATTTTCATCCAACTTGCTCTATCCATCCAGCTTACTCGCGGGCGCCACGCCCCTACCTGCTTATCCACCAACACCGTTAGGTGATAGGCAGATTTGACAGTAAAGAGTAAACACACCATCACACGTATCATGCCATACCAACTTATCCTCGATACTCATACGACTAGGCAAGGGAATTGCTAAAATCTCTTGACTGATTTCAGGAGGAAATATCTGCTGAAGTGAATGGCGACACCAACCCCCCCTCCACAGGATCAATTAACTCTACAACTTTTGGATAAGAGTCCTCCGGTATTACTTGAGGCTTACACATAGGAGGGTGAGGGTGAAGCACCGGAACCCAGCTAGAGTTCTTAATAGAGACTTGTACTCCATTCCCCACTTGCCATCAAAGTCCTCGCTACAGGAGAATACGACCATGGAGAATACTCTGCCACCCCCACGATGGACAGGATCGGGCAGTCGCCGTGAGGAAAGTACCTTTCGGGAAATATTTACCCTTATATATCTGGGCCAGGAGAGAATCCGGCTCATTGAGGATACGCCACCCAATCTTATCCAGGAGAGCTTGATTGAAGTGTTCAAATCGTCGGAAACCCATCCCCCCATCATGTTTACTTGTGCATAGGGTCCACCAAGAGATCCATCGGACCCGCCAACGATCCCCTTCTACCCTCGACCAGAATCTAGCAACATGTTTATCCAGAATACAAGAAACATGACTTACTTTATTATTCCTTAGGTGGATATAATATATATCTTCATAGTTACTTTTACATTGGATTCAATTTAGTATACCTTTTCGTTTAGATAGATTTTTTAATGATGTTTTGGGATATAATATATCATTATTGTATGATGGTGTAGGATATTAGTTCCTCTCATTTTTTTTTGCCATAGATAGATCGCAAATAGTTAGGGTATTACAATTCTTGAAAATTAAAAGCGGTAGTCAACCTAGTGTTGAGCTACTGATGCAAGGGCCGTTTGTGCCACTCAATAGGCAACCCTGTTAGTATGCCTAAAATCATAGATAAACGAATTTGCGTCTTCCTTCAACAAACTTCTTGAAGCACTCATCCGCCGAGTAGGGCCTTCATGTCTCCTATAAGTCAAGCTTCAATAGGCCAATAGTAGAGTTGATGTGCAAGCTACCTGCAAGATGAACACACAAACGACTCCTAAAGGAACAAAACAAATTTCAAGTATCAACATATGTCTATCAAAGATGCTCCACAAACACTAAGAACCACTTTGCCCGCTGGGATGTCGTCGGAGAATGATGGAGTGAATCCCTATAGAGGAGCTTTGTCGGAGATGTTACCGAACAGTCGCACAAAGGTGAAAACGGTGAGATTGTGGGAAACTGTCGGATGAGGGCACCAAATCTTGTTTTCTAAAAGAGTTAGAAATTATAATTGAAAACAAATAATAATAAATGAAGGAAGAAAATGGAGGAGTGAGTAAAACTTATCTGGAGTTAGTAAAACATTTTTTTTAATACGTCGCAAAACAATCATAATAATAAACAACTTGAAACACGTACCTCGTCATGCTCGTAGGTGGGAGATTGGAAACTTCGATTTTGGGCACAATGTAAAATAATAAAAATAAATAAATAACCTGTTACCGTAACCAGTGGCGGACCCAGAAATTTTCATAGGGGTGTCATTTTTTAAAAATAAATTAAATTAAAATAATTAATAATAATAAAATCGTAATTTTGAAATTCCTTACTCGTACAGGTTAATAAAGTCCATGATTTGTTTTCATATTCGGAAATAATTGTAGAATACACTTGGTGTCTATAGTGTTAGAAAAATTGTCTCTATATACCCTACTAAACAATCATTCACGAACTTATCGCATATTCGATTTGTAAACTTGTTCTCGATGTAGCCCAAAGCTGAAAGACGCTTTCAACACTTGCCGTATTAAGGGTAGTTTGAAATTAGTTTAATTGTTAGGTTTTAAAATAATTAGAGATAGAAAATGACATTTTACTATTACATTTTTCAAAGTTGAACAACAAATGAGTTGTAGGTCAACAAAAATTAAGTTTATTAATAAGAATAGTGTTCTAGATTCGAATTACCCAATCTACCACTTATATTCCTATACACAAATGACAGTAGGATAATCATGTTTTCAAATTTCAGGGGTGTCCCTCACTATCAATTATATGTTTTTTGTCCATACATAAATTACCGCCGGGGTTAGACAATCGTATTCCCAAAATTTAGGGGTATCCGGGGACACCTCTAAAACCCCCTGGGTCCACCCTGACCGTAACCGTTCTAATTCCTTCCGTTCCTATTCCGGCGGATCTCAGCAGTGACACACCGCTGAAATCGGCATCGTCGATGACTCTCTCGTCGTGGACTGTTCACGGGGACACCATCTGCTGTTGCGAAGCTGGATGGGCGGAGGCGCAGCCGCCGAACAAAAGGGAGAAGGTGGCAATGACGAGGTGATTGCCAATATTGCTAAATTTGAACCATTGCTGGTCTTGCGGTTATGGTTTCTGCGACGGTAGATCTTTGCCGGTTAGACAACTGCAGAAGGATCCACTTTCGGCCTGTCAAAGTTCCGGTGGCAGCCGCACGATGTGCACATGAGCGCTGCCCTTCCACCATTAGGTCCTTCATCGTCCGTACTGCTGCCCATGAACACCCAACAACCGTCGATCGCGTACACACCGATGTTGGCGGTGTGGTTCTTCTGCCCCCTATCATCAGAATTTTCCGCCGACAATGAGTTCTCCCTCTTCTCGCTCGCACGCAGGAGAATCCACCCTCCATCCTCGTTTGGATGAAGAGTGGCGACAATCACAGCGCGGGGAAGAGAGGCTTACGGGCGCCCGTGGCCACTGGACGAATGAACGAACAGAGAGGAAGGGGGCGTCGGGGGAATGGGAAATGACATAAGAGAGTCCGACGTTGGCAGGGGTGCCGCCACCGTATCGGAGAAGTTCTTCTCTTCTTTTCTTGTCTTATGTGGGGTTCAATTTAATTTCTATGTGCGAGGATTTGGTAAAAATGAGTCTATTAGTTCCTCTCATTTTAGGTTCAAATTGATGCATTTTCCCCTTTATCGTTCCCCTTTTTTTGGTTAATAATTTTTATTATATTTTCACTATGAAATATCGTGAGCAGAATCTATACACAACAATTTGTGTTTTTTTCGCTTCTTCTTCTCTTGATTATTGAATTACTACTTTTTTATTCTGAAATTTATGAAACTAAGATGCATTTTTTTTAGAAACATGAAACTAAGATGCATATTAATAAAGAATGTAAGGTGTCATCTTCCCTCTTAAGGCTTAAGCACTACAATGACTTTTATTGTTGTCGATTTTCCCCAATATATTAGGTATGTTGCTTTTAGTTTTCGCATTCTTTTCAGTTTGATTTAGCTTTTTATGTTTTGCTCTATTAGTTGAACTTGTCAGTAGGAGATCTGCATGCTTCGACTACATTAATGTCACAATGACTTCTATATGAAATGCCACTCGAAATATGAGTGTGTGAGTTAGTTTGTTTCTTATTAAGGACACTCTAAACATATACTTTGTTCCATGGTATCATTGAATACTAGGGGTGGAAGTTTGAGTTGCAGGTTGTGGATAATCCGCAAACCACACCAACCCGCACCTATTGTGGGTAACCATACCCACAAGTTGTGGGTAGTGGGTTGGGCGTGGGTAGTAAAATAACGATTTTTTGGTTAGTGGTTATCCACTACCCACCGCGTTTAACCCACAAAATCCACAATAACCACACTAATTATATTTATTTAGTGAATTAACTTTATAATATAATAGTATGTGAAAAGTGCGAGGATAAAAATTAAAGTAGCCACCAAATATAAAAGACACACCTAATCAGTTTTATGTAAGAATTTTTTAGTTTATAAAACACTATAATCGATAGAGTGGAGAATAATCAATTCATTAAAAGTGAACACCTTTTGTAACTTTTATCAGTATGTTTTTGCTTTTGTGTGAAAAAATACAAGATCATATTTAATTGTTATATTTCACCCCTAGTCGGGAAAATATGAAATCACAGCTCTCTGACACAAAAGTTAAATACCAAACTAAAAAAAAAAATTCTCCACGTTGAGTAAGATCGATGTACAAAATTGTATCTCACGAACAACACAAGTGTATATCACTATAGTCTAGTTACGAACAAGAAATACGTTAGTGGCGACTAGAACTCTATGCTTGCAAAGATGGATTTTTGCGGGTAACCACACCCAACCCGCACAAACCCACAGTGGGTAGTGGTTACCCACTAACCACTGCGGTGCGGGTTGTGGGTAGCATAATTGTAGATTTGTGGGTGTGAGTACCGGCAAAATGTGGGGCGGGTAACCACACCCACCCCAATTTCCACCCCTATTAATACACTAAAGTCAATGGAAAAGTAGAAACATTTAATCGTATACTAAAGATTGATTATGCATGTATGATGTAAAATAACTCTTACAATTACTAGTTTTTTACCCGCCCGTTGGGCGGTGTATTTTGTTTGGTTGTTTTATAATTCGTTATAGTATTCTAACTGTTATTATTATTTATGTTTGCTAAGGTAATATCCATGGAATTGTAAATCCCACTTACCTTATTTCAGGTATTATTTCATACTTTTATACCTTTTGTTTATTTATGAACATTTTAATTTTATTAACTGAGCTCTTTGCAGACAGTTCTTTATTGATTTAGAATTTATTTTTATCGAACTCGCCCTTTAAGATTATAAACATAAGAGATTATTCATTCTTTAGCACATAATTGTGATAAAGAAGTTAAAAAACTTACGGCCACAAAAGAAGAAGTTAGAATAAGAAAATGTGCTTCAATTAATAAACAAAAAAGCGAAGAGCTTTTTATTTTCTCTCCCTTCTCATATGTCGGTATATGATAATAGAGAATATTCCGATCTAAATCCCATGAATATCGTGTATTATCACTTACACATACAATTTTGGAATAATGAGGAAACTCATTAGCATCCACGTCCATCAATCTTCCACGTACTTGTTTAATTACCTTGAAATGTTCTAGCAAAACCAACCACAAACAAAACTATCAGCTGTCACTAACTTATTAAAGCAATATTTTCAGCAAATTAAACTGCATATAATTAAACACAATTTATATTTTGTAGAGAGCTACATATTTCCTGCAGAAAAGAATTGGGTTTTATTACCTAATAACAACATAGACAAATAATGGAAGGAGAAGTCTTCAATACAACTCAACTCATTTTATCATTCAGATTCCTCATTTGTGAACTGAATATATGCATCAATCTAAATAGTAGTTTGTAAGAAAACAATCATGTCAAAATCAATCTTTAGTTAGGGATTCAATGCAGAAAAATTCACCTTAATGAAACAAACAAATGTCACCGCAAACATGTAGAAATTAAAAAAATCATCGAAATAGACAACCGAGAAACCACCATTATCATTTTCTTTCTTCTTCGCGACCTTTATAAAACCCCAATTATGTTCCCTTCTACTTATAACCCCTTTGCTACCTACTAATTACTAACCAGATCATCATTGTATAGCTAGCTAGTAGTAGCATGTCAATCATGAACATAAAATATAATAAACAATCATCACAACTCTACTTTCCATTTCAACATTCAAGAAATCGGGTTGCAATAGGGATTCAAGAAAAACGATCAATTATTCAACCAAAGGAGGTATGCCCTAAGTCCAACCAATTAACCCTTCTAATTATATTTTATATACATGAAAGTATATGGCGACCCTTCTCAGTAAAAAACAAAGAAGAAATATATTCACTCATCGAGAGTGGGAAAATTTACCATCCAACAGTCGTAATTTGGAAGAAATTAAGAAAAGAATGGGAAAAAGAGTATAACTCGGCCAGTCAACCACAAACAATAACATATCGCTGAGAAAGTGAGACCAGTTGCTAGCTTTAGATCAAGGAGGAAGAGGGAGCAGTCGACAAACCTCGGCTTGGTTCACCTCATCTTCATAATGATCATATTAACTTTTTTCGTCAACACGCAAAAATATGTTACAACTGCTCAAAATTTTGCCATCTTATCGTTGTCTCGTGTAATTTCTACCTCCTATTCTCATACAAAGAAAAAAAATCGTATGCATTACCATTTCCTTCTCTATAAATTATGAGAAAACAAATATTAGAAATCTCAAAAAATTTAGCAACTAATAAGAGGGCTTTGTTTATTTTTATGGTGGTTGACATACTTTCTTGATTTCTTATTTTCAATGTTGGATTTTATTTCTAGAGACACAATCAAAATGGGAAAAGGGATAAAAATAAATTAAAAATTTGCATTAATAATTAATATGTTTTCATTTAATAGAAATGAATAAGAAGTTTTTAAAAAAATAGCAATTATTGCTCTGTCAAGTTTATATTCAGACATTTTGCTATATAATTTATACTTGTTTTATTTGATAGGTATATACATAAGAAAGAAGTGAGTGTTTGATAGCAAAAAACATATAGTCATATCGTTCATTTCTCAAAGTCGATTGATTGTCAAACGTTTATTTTCTCTAAGATCATCGTTTATATTTTGTATTGAAAAATATTAATATTTATGTGTGTGCTTGTTTTTTTTTCTTCATCAAAATATAACTTATTATTAAGTTTTAGTAAAAATGAGTAGAAAATTTACTTAATGAGATTTAATCAGCTTGGTTAAACAAATACAATAAATGTCACTCTCTGTTTCAATCTTTATAGTTTGTTTAATCGAATTTTTTTTATTACTTAGGTGTGTGTTTTTTGTTTAAATGTTTCCTAAAAACTTAATTTATTTTAATTTTAGTAAAAATGAGTAGAATTATTAAAAGAAGAGAGAGACAACTTCATAAATAGATCAATAAATAGTTTTTTGTTTGAAAAACAATTGTCCACCTTGGCAACTTGTGCATTCACCAAGTGCTTATGTGACAAGAAGTTATTTTTTAATAGCCATAATATTTAGTATAGATAGATAGATATAGATAGAAGATAGATAGATAGATAGATAGATAGATAGATTCTTCTTAGATGTTTTTATATCAATACAACTTCGTTTGAAAATATTTATTTATTTTAGTGTAGCTGGACGTTGTTCGTCATTTTAAAACTTCATTATCCAAATACATCAAATACTTTTCTATATTATTAATGGAGAACTTACCAAACTAAATAGTTACTTCAAATCCTAACAACATGAACCATAACAAAAATATATACTTACACTTATACATAACAGTCTAAAACTCTCCTGACCAAGAGGCTTACTATAAAGAACGAGTTTCATTATCTTTTGGGCCTGAACTTAAGTTGGTGATCAATTGGTTTTCCTTTAAGTACACGATTTGAGCTAGTGGAGAGATTATTCAGATAAAAACACTGGTTTCCCATCTTCTCCGACTAGTTCCTACATAAAATCCCTAGAAAACACAGATAAGTAAGGTTGCAGGTGCCATTTTGGGATTTACAACTTTGTTTGATTCTCTACTTGGTATACAACAATGACAAGGAAAATGAAAAGGTCAATTTCAAGTGTATATGCAAACTGTACTAGCATCATTAGGGAGCCAGCCAGCGCTGATCTTTAATATTAACTGTTTCATACTCAAGCTAGTGTTATTGTCAT